AAAAAAAAAAAAAAGTCACTAATAAACAGAATCCAGGAAAAAAAAATTAAAAAAATAAAACATCCACTCCTGGGTAGGAATTAATCGTATGCTTGCTATGATCTGAATATGTTTCCCCAAATTGAATAAAATGGAACTCCCTAAGTGAGAGTATCAAGAGTTGGGGCCTTTAAGAGTGATGAGGTCATGGGGTCATAACCCTCATGAATGAATTAGGCTGCTATTAGAGGAGTGCATTAGTTATAAAAGGGAGGAGGTTAGCCGGATGTCCTGTCTGTCTCAGGCATGCTCCCTTGCTCCTCCACCATGTTATGATGCAGCAAAAAGGCCAGATACCACACCAAGTTCTTGGACTTCCCAGCCTACAGAACTCTAAGCCAAATGAATTTCAATTGTCTACAAATTACCCAGTCTCTGACATTCTGCTATAGTATCAGAAAATGGACAAAGACAAGGGTATGCTCTCCCTTCTTAGTTTCAGAGAACCAGCAGCATACTTAACAGTACCTTACTCCATGGGAGGGCTGGCAGTAGGGTTCCACGTCTCTCCCAGACTAATACATAACTAAAGGACTATTCTGAGCAACCGTGCTGAGACCTTCATAAAGAGGAGTTTGCCTCCCTGTCCTTCACTTGGAAAAATTCCTAGATCTGCCACTAGAAGTGATGTGCTTCCTATGTGCAAGTCTCTGCATGTCTCAGGGGCCCTTCCTGACTTGGTGAACTCATCATCCTTATCATTTCTCCATCACAGACTTGGGTCACATGAGGTGATCCCTGAACTGTGCCTAGAGATGTCACCTCGAACACACATACACACACACACACACACACACACACACACAATCATGGATTGTCTAGGGGACAGTGCCAGAGCAAGGAGGCCAGATGCCACATAATTTTGGGAGGAGCAGAAGGAATTAAACTCCTGCTGAACCCTAGATAAAAATCACCCAATCTCAGATATCATTAAATAGCTGAAACAAGTCTCAAATATGTGCTCCTTAACTAAGAACCATGCAAGGCTGGGAAAAAGTGCATGGGTACCACTGTGAACCTTACTCCAGTGTGCTTCACTCCATGGGCACTGCATACTTGCTCAGTATTCATTGCTTATAGAAGGATCTAGAAAGACCCACTGGTGGACCGTCCTCCATGGTCACAAGAGAATGAAAAGAGTTTAGGATGGAGTTAAGGAAGTGGGTGCTGAGCTGCTTTTATCCACTGGACATCCCTGGATAAGCCATTGATCTTGTATTTTAAGCTCCCGATGACCTGGGCCTATGGAATCTCCCTTATTGCAAACAGGAGGTGGCAGGTGGGCCTTGTTCCCATCCATCTTCATCTAAGGCTCCACGTAAAGGACCCAAATGTGGTGCTAAGGGTGTTCTCATGTCTCCCTGTGTACATCATCATGATGATGCGTTGCATAAAAAGAAGTGAGGTCCTTCTCCTTGCTGGTCAGGTCAGCTCCATCCTGGTAGGTTATACCCCATCCTGACTYACTTTAGATTCAGGCATAGGAAGATGTACTCCCTGCCAGGAACTATAGCTTTCAGGCAACACAGCCTCCAAGACAGGGATGTACCCCTTCAAAGGCCCAAGAGAATCAGACTATCCTAGAAAGAACAGATATAATTGGAGATTGATGTGCCAAGTYGCCCTGGAGGAACAGAAAGCTTGGTACTAGCAGAAGCACACAAAACTTGCTACACTATCTAATGAAAAGAAAATGTTCTTTCGAAGAGGCTGTGCCAGGCCTGGTTACACTGCTAGTGCCTGGGGCCAGCTATGACTCACAAGGAAGGCAGCCCGGGTTCTCAACAGAGGAGCAATGCAGTCAGCTGTGGTAGGAACTGGATGAACCTCATCAGCCCTTCCTGTTGGCCCACCACCTGCTGACCCAGCACCAGCACCTGCTGACCCAGTACCAGCACCCCAGCACCAGCACCTGCTGACCTCCAGTCCAAAAAACAATTGGTGCTGAGTAGATAAAGCCACCAGCTGGGCTGAGCCCTGCTTCTTGGTGCTGTGAATTGAAAAAAAAAAAAAATCAGCCTCTCCTTTCAGTATCCCAGGCCCTCAACATGAGTTACTATTCAGAAGGCCATCCACTCCCAGGTACAGATCAGGAGAACACTCTAGACTTAGAAGGTCCGAGACAGACTCCAAGTTTGGTAGAACTCCTCATAGCATGGGCATCCCTGGGCCCAGTGATGGTCAGCAGGAATTTTTGCTTCTGACTTCTCTGAATTTTGAAAGGAATCTTCCCTGAAGCTCTGTGCTGGTGCAGAGAACCACAGGAAGAGCCAGGCTTACTGCTTTCTGAGCAAGGAACTTTCTAGGCATCTTATGCCAGATAGGATGAGACTAGTGGCCATCATGCAGGCAATGGGCCCATTTCCAGACACCCGCACACTGCACACTGGGCCCATCTGCTGGGCTGGGGCCTTTCCTGGGGCAGTAGCCCTGGGGAAAGGCAGATGGAATGAGACAGGGGCAATATCGGTCTCAAACGTTGGAATGTACAGAAATCCTCTTGTCTGTTTTAGGGAAATGCAGATTCCCAGCCTTGGGCTGTGGTTTTGATTTAAACTAAATGTTTATAAAAAACATCAGTGTGTAGGATTGACCTCAGGTTGTGGAGACCTTTCCATAAAGCACTCTTGCTTCTCTGTCAACTTCTTCCCATTGGAAATCTCCCTCCTTTAAAGGCACCCTCTTGGAGCTAATCCTTTCCTCCTCCCTGCAAAATGACCTGCAGCCCACAGGCAGCACAGCCATCTGCTCATGTCCTGTGTATACAGAGGCCATCTCCCTACACAGGGACTGCCCCCCGAGGATCACCAGGACACTCACCCAAGAGAAGCCTATGCAGCCGATGGCTCCACACAGCATGTCTGCGATCAAGGATGGGTATGAGCTGGCCGTGGGGAAGTAGGCGAAGAAATAGGGGCTGTGCCAGTGGGTCACCTGTGGAAAGGCRGAGCAATTACTCAGGGGAGAGGGGAAGCAGGCCGCACCAGGAGCAGGGACTCAGGTACCCTCTGTGCTCCTGCCCTCTGAGCATCTGACCTTGGCTTGGATGCATGTCTTCAATTTCAGTCATCCTAAGACCTTCCTCCAAACATTTTGTAGCATCTACATTTCACCTGATACTACAGTAAAGGAACTCTTTTTATTTTATATTTGTCTATGTTTGCTAGGTAAGAAGGAAATGCTATATATCCTTAAAGTAAAAATGGAACATCATTATCACTGGTTAAAATGAACCAGCCATAACAAGTGAAGTCTCTAAAAACGGCATTGGGTTTTAAGTTCTTAGCAGGGTGTCTGGTCAGAGAAGGCACTGTTCTCTTGAGGGCTCTAAAAAATCAAATCTAAATCTCTCTCTCTCTTTTTTTTTTAAATTCCTGATTTTTCAGGTTTCTTCGGTCAGATCCCAAACACACATCTTGTCTCACAGCTGCCTCCTAACTCTCTCCTGTACAAACCAGTCCCTCCTGCGAAGCATCCCTCTGGTATACTCCCTGCCCCCTCCGTCCCTCAGACGGGCCGGGCCACTGTCCCCCAGCCTCCTGGCCCTGACTGTGAGCTGCCTGCCTTCCTCCATCCCAGTCCAAGGAAACACCTGCTCTGTGCCACACCTGAATTAGGCACAGAGGGAAAGCTCAAGGTGGACAAGAGGAGGAGGTCCATAAATGGACAGTCACAGTTCTGTGACCTAGTTAGTACCCTTAGGGGCCCAGGGGTGCTGGGAGCCAGAGTAGCAGGGAAGCCACCTCAAGCCAACATTGATGGCCATGGATTGAATGTTTGTCCCCCCTCCCCCCACACACCAAATTCACAGGTTGAAACTCCAACCCATCAAATGATGGCAGTGGAGTCCTCCTGACAGGATTAGGGCTTTTCTGAGAAGAGACCAGAGAGCTAGCTCTCTCCCTCCATGTGAGAATATCTGAAGTCTGCTGTTATCCAGGAAGAGGGTCTCCCAGAACCTAACACCTTGATCTCAGGCTTCCAGCCTCTAGAGCTGTGACAAATCAATGTCGTTGAAGCCACCTAAGTAGGCACAGCCTTTGTTCTGACCCCCTGCTAGAGTTTGGTTCTTAAGTTTTCCCCAAAGGCTCCTGTGTTAGCAGCTCACTCCCCAGGGAGGTGGTGGAGCCCTTAGGAGGAAGGGCCTAGAGGGAAGTCTTTAGGTCACTGAAGTTATGCCCATGAAGGGGAGTGTGGGACCTTGGTCCCTTCCTGTTTTTCTCTTTCAGCCATGAGATGAGTGGTTTTTTGCTCCACCATGTGCTCCCCCACATGATGTGCTACTTCACCACAGACCTAAAGCAATAGGACCGACTGACCGTGAATTGAAACATATGAGGCTGTGATATAAAACAAACCTTTTCTCTTTATAAAATGATTATCTCAGGTGTTTGTTATAGTGACAGAAACCTGACTGAGACATCATTTCATACAGTCTGGACAAAGATGCAAATATTAATTTTCTCCATGAAACTAGTTATTAAGTATATAATGTCCAAGATGTGGCATGAGCAATCTTGATTGGGAAGGTAGTTGACTAAGAAAGCTCACCAAGAGCTGAGAGTGTTCCGTAGGTCCCACTGAAACTATGGACACTTCCGAATCAGTTAGGACTAGGGATCCATGAAGGGAGAGAGGGAGAGGAAGATGCTTAGTGCATTTGGGCTGAGGTTCTAATGTGGAAGGTGACAGTGACTCTTAGAGCCATGAGGAGCTGCACAGGTGAAATGCTGCATTCATTGCAGCAGACTGGGGGTCCACAAAAGATTTAGGGGCCAGGACATGCTTTCTTTTAAGATAAAAAAAAAATGTGAACTTGCTAGTCAAAGGGGGAAAAAATGTACCTATAATACTAATATATTCAGCTTAATTTTGCATATTTCTATGAAGAAAGGAGCCTAAAAAGGTACGAGTGCCCAGGGCCCATGACAGTAAGACTGTGGCCTGGGGTCTTAGCCTCCCTTCAGGGAACCAGAAGCCCCACACTGCTTCCAGCTCTGTTTCCCCCTTACCTGCTTCTGGAAACCTGGGGAAYGCAAGAGTCGTTCCTGACTGGGGCATGTCCTTTTTTGCTTCACTCTCTGCTAAGAATCACAACCACATTGGGCTGATGGTCCCAATCTCACTCTCTACTTAGAGCAGAGCACTCACCTACTTTCCCTGCAACCACAGCCCTGCAACAGGGAGGCCTGGACTACCCCCAGGGACCCAGCCCCGCAGCCATGTGTTTCCCAGCTTTGCTCTGAGCAGTAAATACTCCTGTCTGGTCCAGCAGGAGGACTTTCATGTCCCCCTCCCATACTCCTCCGTATGGGTTTTATGTATTATGAAAGGAGGGTGCCATAAGAAGTGCCCTGGAACCGAGGAACTGTCTCTGAAGTTGAGGACCTAAGTCTCAGCCCCCAGGCCCTGGACCTGGGTCTACCTCAGGGCCTCTGCATTCTGTCTGAAAATGAGGGACTGAATCTCAGTGATCCTAGATTCCTCCTGCTCCATGTCTAATACATTTGCTTTTTATTGATCTTACAACCATAGAAGCGCAGAGGGTGGGGATCCACCTGCCAACGCCTCCAGTGCCAGACTAGGACTTTGCATATTGTTTGTGGAAATTAAAGTAGCCACACAGGATGACAGGTTTGACAGTCCTCATCCATGTGCCAGGGGGAGGCTGGCCTGTTCAGAGAGCCACAGTAATTCAAGGGCTTTGAGATGAATTCCTTGATGGGGAAAATCATACCGTAGGAACACAGATCTGAAATGAGGTCTCAGGCCAACCCTCTGCTCCCCTCACTGGGTATCAGGGATGGCAACAGGTCCTGCTTCTTTGGGGCTGGGCTGATTTGCACTCTCTGGGGTGAAGCAGTGTCATGTTGCCCACTCAAACAAAATGAACAAAATTTTTTCTCTATCCATATGATCTATCATTTGGTGAGCACAACAATGATAGGAGTATGCTTTGTTTGGGGCAATTAATTAGTCGCAATCAGTAATCAGGGACTTATTTCCTCTTACCAGCATATGATAACACACTGCAGGTACCAAGTGTCTTGCGGCAGGGACTGAGCCTCAAAAGATAGCCCACTTGTTTTACTTGGAGTCTGCATGATCTGGATTGGCACCCAAGCTCCATCATTTACTAGATGTGTGAACTTAAGTGGAGCACCTAATCTCTGGAGATTCAGTTGCCTCTGATATAAGATAAAAATGATAGAAATTTCTCTCTAACCTGTTCTGAGAATTCTTGGAAATAATAGATGTGAATTGGGGCTGGGGATGTGGCTCAGGCGGTAGCGCGCTCGCCTGGCATGTGTGCGGCCCGGGTTCGATCCTCAGCACCGCATACCAACAAAGATGTTGTGTCCACCGAGAACTAAAAAAATAAATATTAAAAAAAAAATTCTCTCTCTCTCTCCTCTCTCACTCTCTCTTTAAAAAAAAAAAAAATAGATGTGAATTGCATGGTGTCCAGTAGGTGCTACATTAGCACTAGCTTGCCTCTTCTCTGACTTTGGATATACACTTACCCCTGGCATGATTATCTTTTCAAGGTCATTGATAACGTCCTCAAATGCTTCTGGCTCCTGGGGAGCCTCAGTAGGGATCAGGGGCCGCAGGTAGCCAGGCTCCACATTAGGGTAGACGGGGCGCCCCTCGATGCCTTCCAAGTAGTCAGCCACATAATCCACCATCTCTTTCCCTCTCCTCCGGTATTCACTTGCATCCATGGTGACTGAGCTCTGTCAGAGGTGGAACTGCAAAGAGAGAGAAGAAATCAGCTGAAAAAAAAAACATAACAGCCTCTGGACTGGAGGAGGGCAATTCCAAGTCAGCTGTTAGAAGTTCATGGGCAGTGACCCGATACCCTGGAGGCCACCCTAGTACAGAGTCAGTCCTCATTTCCTTTTGTGGGTGGATGAGGCGGACAGGACATAGGCTTTGGGTCCTGTAGCTCATTCTATTCTTTGCCAGCTACTCAACAGAAGACAGCACAACATCTCTTTATTTAATTTTCTACACTGATAAAATGCACTAGAAGCATGCATTTATACTCATGGTCCATTCCAACTTCAATGACAAACACTGGTCCAAGTTCTGCCTGGTCATTTGACAGAAACAAGTTCCACCCCTGAGCCTTACTTCCCAGCTGAGGGATGACTGTAACAGCTCCGACCTCTGAGGAAGGCTGAGATTGAACATTCTACCTAGACTCAGTCCACAACCATCTTCTTTCCTCTGGATTCCATCTTCAGGTGGACCTGTGCTGCTACCTGTTATGGTTCAGATGTGAGATGTCCCCCAAAAGGTCACATGTGAGACAACGCAAGAAGGTTCAGAGGAGAAATGATTGGATTGTGAGAGTCTTAACACAATCAYGGGAATTAATCCTTGATGGGATTAACTGAGTGGGACTGGAGGCAGGTGGAGTGTGGCTGGAGGAAGTGGTTCAAGGCAGGGGTATATATTTTGTATCTGGAGAGTGGAGTCTGTCTCTTTCTGCTTCCCTCAGCCACACTCCCACAATGATGTTCAGCCTCATCTCAAGCCCAGAGAAATGGAGCCAGACTTCTATGGGCTAAGACTTCCCAAACCAAGAGCCCTTAAATAAACTTTTCCTCCTCCACAATTGTTCTGGTTGGGTCCTTAAATCACAGCAGCCAAAAAGCTGACTAAAACAACATACAACCTGATTTTCAGAAATAATGCACTTTTATTACATAAGTAATATACAGGCAATTCTAATGATTAATTATGTCCTAAAAAAAATTGCCATGAATTCTGAACTAGTGAACACTATTACCAGACCTCATAGGGAAAATACAGGGTTAGGTTCCTGGAGAGTAATCAAGAGTATATATATTTTTTCAATACATGACCATTTTGTGTGTTGTTTTAAAAGACACCTTATGTAATATGTATTGAATGGTTAATATGTGTTTAATGTTAATCATTAAATCTACAGCCACTCACACTATAATTCATGCCCAAAGGAAGCTTACATAACACATATTTCTACATGAGGCACATCACAGTCTGCTTGTGCTTAGGAACCCTAGACAGCACTTCTGCACTACATTTTTGGAGATCATTTTAAATGGAAAAACACCAAGAAAAAGCACAGAATTGTAAAGAATGTCACACTAAATATATGGAAAACAGGACACTTGCTATTAGTATGAGAGCTGAAACCAGAGGGCAGATTGTCGCCTTGTTCAACCTCAGCTGTGAACATGCACATCTGGTGACTCAAATTTTTTCCCTTGCTGCATATGTGGTCACAAAGCATTGATTACATTTAATGTAATCAATACATTTGATGTACAATACATTTCAATACATTTTAGCTAGTAGAAGAATTTGCATGTATGGAATCTTCAGATAGTAAGAACAGATTGCATTGTCAAAACAGGTATCTAGAAAGGCACCGACAAAAATTCTGGCACATCTTCTTTCAGATTATTTCCTATATTTGTGTTAGACAATTATATGGTAAGCAAGGGATGCAGTTCTGATTCCTTCCATAGTCCAAAACCTCATAATTCAAGATGAATGTCCCTGTGAAGAGTTCAGGGGTGAATCAACACCTACTGTAATTAGCAATAGGGATGACCTTGACATTAAATTCTCAGCATTTTTCCATGTTCCCCATTGTCCATTCTGGGATTTTTGACATTTTTTTGTGTGTGATGTTAAGGTGTTGAAAATCTATTTACCAAGAACTTGTTAAAAGTAGTAAGACAGATTTTATTGAAGATTATTGCAATAGGGGAGAGACTATTGAACTCAACTTCAATACAACAGCCAAAGGGCAGATGAGAGAGTCAGTGGATAGAAAATTAGTAGGAGTAATGTGGTTAGTCTCAAGGGTGGAGAGGAAGCAGAGCTTGATTAGATGCCGGGGTGAAAGTAGATGAACTTGATTGGATATACAGGATGGGGCCTTGTTACCAAACTGGCTTATCAGTATTTCCTGCTAAAACTRGTGTCAGCAATCTAGAGAAAACCAAACAAGAAGAGGAATCAGGGAGACTGGCTGAAGGACTGAGCCTTTGTCCAAGGTGAACCTGCTGGAAGATGGTTTTTCTTCTCTCAGCAATCTTTATAAGCATCCTTCTTCAGAATGATCTCTGATAAATGAACAATGTATAGCATTTTGTAGGTTACTTCAAGGTCTGCCATTAGATCCAATCCCATTTTAAAGTTATTATTTGGGTGCACATTTTTCAGTGAGTGAGAAGCAGTGATTGGGACTTAAGATAAGACTCTAAATTATAGCAACAGCTAATACCAAACTAACAGCATGAGAAAAACCACATTGACAGTTTGAATTTACATTGCATCTTTGCACTTCATAAACTAAGGGCTGTGTACGGTTCCACTCCTCAGCTAAAATATCATAGCCATGGGGTAAAACTTCTGGTTCACAACTCTTAGTGTCTGATAGCTTTCAAAATTAATTTTTTTTATTTGAAGTGACTCAGCTTATTTCAAAGTTTGGACACAGAGTGAAACTGTTTTCACCTTAAGTGAAAGGGACTTGAAAGTGAGATTCTTAGAATTCAACCAAAATGTCTCACACCAAAACTCTTTTTGCAAGTTCAGGTTCTCATTATATAATTACTGAGTCCCTTTTCCAYGGTAATGCACTTTTTTCTGTCATGGGATTTCTAATGATGTTCACAATGTGTGCCTCTTTTGCTGAACATTTGGATGATTTTCAGTCTCCACTTATTATATTAGTGGGAAAAGTACATGGATCTTAGGGGCCAACTCTTCAGGATCGAGAGCTGAAGGACTCAGAGTCATATCCTGACTCTTATATTTATTAGATGTGAGAAGATGTGGTGATATGTGTGTAATTCCAGCTACTGGGGAGGCTGTTGAAGGGGGATCACAAGTTGGAGGCCAGCATGAGTAACTTAGGGAGAAACTGTCTCAAAAAATAAAAAGGACTGGAGATGTAGTTCAGTTGCAAAAACACCTCTGGATTCAATCCCCCAAAGAAAAAGACACGGGACAAGTGAGTGAGTGGGGTCCTAGGGGCTGACTTGCCAGGATCTAGAGCTGACAGACTCAAGAATGAGACCCTGACTCATATTTATCCTGCATAAATTGCTAACATGTTAAATCTTATTTTCCTAAACCGAAAACATAAATCACGATAACAGTAGTAGTATCTTGAGGAATTTTTGTGATCATTAAGGAAGTGCTTGGAAAAAGTTTAGAACAGTGGTATAAAATAACCTCTCAATAAATATCAGTTATAGTAGTCCCCACTTTTCTGCAATTTCAATTTCTAAAGTTTCAGTTACTCCCAGTCAACCCTGGTCCAAAAATATTGAATGGAAAATTATAGAAATAAGTAGTTAATTGGTTTCAAACTGTGTACCATTTTGAGTAGCATGATGAAAGCTTTGTTCCATCTCCTTCAGGACAGGAAACATCCTCCCTTTGTCCAGCATGCTCACACTGTATAGGATACCTGCCCGTTAATTACTTGGTGGCTGCCTTAGTTTTCAGATCAATTGTCATGATATTCTAGTGCTTGATTTTTAAGTAACCCCTATTTTATCTAATACAGTAATTGTTCTATTTTACTCATTAATTATTGTTAATATCTTACTATATCTATTATAAGGTTTAACTAACCTTATCATAGACAGGTATTCGTGTATAGGGAAAACACATTGTATATATGTATTTCAGTACTATTCTTGGTTTCAAGCATCCACTGAGTGTCTTGGAATATATCACCTTGAGAATAAGGAGGGATTACTGCATTTGTATTTCTTTATAAAATCAAAAACATCACTACCAATTGGAGAGATGAAAATCAAAACTATTCTATTAAGATTTCATCTAACGGGCTGGGCTTGTGGCTCAAGTGGTAGCACGCTCGCCTGGCATTCGAGGGGCGCTGGGTTCGATCCTCCGCACCACATAAAAATAAAATAAAAAAGTCTGAGCTCCCCTGATTACAACTCATGGATTGTGAATGTGCTTCCAAGATTTCATCTAACTCCAGTCAGAATGGCAATTATCAAGAATACAAGCAACAATAAATGTTGCCAAGGATGTGCGGGAAAAGGTACACTCTTAAATTGTTGGTGGGATTGAAAATTGGTGTAACCAAATGGAAAGCAGTATGCAGATTCCTCAGAAAACTTGGAATGGAACTACCATTTGGCCCAGTTATCGCACTCCTCATTTTTATCCAAAGTACTTAAAATCAGCATACTACAGTGATGTTGCCACCAATGTTGATAGCAGCTCAATTCACAATAGCCAAACTATGGGACCAAGCTAGATGGCCTTTAACAGATGAATGGATAAAGAAAATGTAGTATATATACACAATGCAATATTACTAAACCTTAAAAAAGAATGAAATTTTGATATTTGAAGGTACATAGGTGGAGCTGGCAATCCCCAAACCAAAGGCCTATCTTTTTCTCTGATATGCAGATTCCAATTCATAATGGTGGTGTGGTGCTAGGGAAAAATAGAGGTACTTTGGATTAGACAGTGGGGAGTGAAAGGAGGGGAGGGGCTATGGAGGTAGGAAGGAGAGTGGAATAAATCAGACATTATTACCCTATGTGCATATATGACTACATAACCATTGTCATTCCACATCATGTACAACCAGAAGAAAAGTTATACTCCATTTATGTACAATGTGCCAAAATGCATTCTGATATTATATACAACTAATTTAAATGAAATTTTAAAAAATACCTCCTCTTATTTCCAT